TGGACCCCCCCCCCCGTCTCTCCCTCTCTCTTGCTTCTCATTTCCACATGCTCTTGTTTTTGTCATGAGGCCACAGTGCACCTAATGTTTCATGGCTATGCTTTCTAGTATTGCCCAACACTGCAGGCTCTGAAAGAGAAACAAACACATGAAGAGGCCAAACTAAAAATATCCGTTCAGGGAAAGCTGCTCTCAAAAACAATTTCAAGAGCTTTAGTATCAACTATCTTTAGTATGTAATATCAATCCAACACTTCTGATGTATGTACCTTTTGATAATGTAACCTGCTGGCTTTCTGAGTATTGTTTATTGGCCCCTGTCTGTGTGACCTGAGAGAGTGTTTGCAGCTAGAGTTTGGCACAAACAGGCCCTCAACACCAGAGCCAGTCACACTTAGTACAAACTGATGCAATTTGCTCTTCGTGCATGCTCATATATCCAAGTTCTTAGATTTCCTGTAGATTAAACAGTAAAGCATGATGCTAGCAAGGTCATGGGTTCAGTTCCCAGGGAATGAATGAACTGTATGCAATGTTAATAGCTTTGGATAAGAGCATTTCCTAAATGCATGTAAATGGAAAACGTTACTTGAAATAAAATATTTTAAAAAATTCACAACTTGCTCCAGAAAAAAAAAATTAATTGCCTTGTGACTAAAAATTATTTACAAGACAACATTTCTCATTTTTATTTGGTTTAACTTGATATACTAAAATAACTAAACTTGAAATAATCTATAAAAACTCTAGACACTTAAAAAATGAATAAAAATTACAAAAAAACATGCAACAAGATGACTAAAACGTCTCGGTTACGTATGGTAACCCTCGTTCCCTGAAGGAGGGAACGGAGACGTCACGTCAGATGACCGACGAATTGGGATCTCGCTTAGAGAGACCAATCTACTTCGAGTGTAAACTAAACGAGCCAATGCACATTGGCATGCGATTATTGCATCCAGCTGCTGCTGATCACAGCGTGAGTATAAGTAGGCAGCAGATGCAGCGCATATTCAGGTTTTCGCTGAGGAGCCGAGCCGGTGACCCGGCCGCTCAGCGGTGGTACAGGAGCTGTGGCGACGGGACGTGACGTCTCCGTTCCCTCCTTCAGGGAACGAGGGTTACCATACGTAACCAAGACAATCGAAACCAGGTGCGGGTGTTTTTATATCACTGTATTTCTGAAGGAAACCGACTGTCTTCAGAAAATTTTGGATGTCATTTTCATTTCCTCTTGCATGTAATGTCTGATAAAGCAGCGTTTGTGAGCGGAGCGCTGCTTTGTGAACAGCTGTTACCGGGGAAACCTCTATTTCTCCCGCTCTAAGCGCCACCTTCTGGCAGAGAATGAATTTGCATATATATGCCGCCACAAATAGAAGTCTGTGGGCAACACAATCTGCTCTGAAATATTTTATCAGTTAAAAAAATTGCTCTTTTTTTTTTTTTTACTTCTATAGAATAAAACTTGCTTGCAAGCCAGATGCAAAATTTGTCAAATGTTTTTTTAAGCCTTCAATAAAAGGTCCTGATGTTCAGTCAGAGGTTTAAAGATGTTATGCCATGTTAAATGTAGTGTATTTTCTCTGTCCACCCAGTATGCCTAGGGTTATTTCTCTCCCTCCATCAATGTTGTGGAAATTTACTGGCTGCCAATACACACTGACAGTCCCATAATACTGCATCACTTCGTCAGATTCATTGATGTGTGTGTCACTACACCACCCCGTCCTCCTCCTGCAGCCCATGAAATATCCAGTCCTCGAACCTCAACAAGTTTTTTTTTTTCCATATTGATTTTAAAGTTGAGTTTTATTTTCTCTGTTTTTTTTCCTCTTCAAGTACTGCAATGGAGGAGACCTGGCAGACTATTTGCAAGGTAAGCAGCTTGTGAGGTAAACACATCATTTGGTCAGGAGTCTCAAGTTAAAAGCGCATTTTAGGGAAGTCCGCCTATAAATGGGTTTCTTTGCATATTAAATAGGGATAGGAGACAGTTTCTTTCTCAGTGAGCCAGAGTTGAAGTATTTGTCTCCAGGGTTCAATCTTAAAGCGCACTTCCCTCCAACACTCTCAGAGAGCCACTACTGTCTCCATTATCATATATATTTAAAGCTTTGCCCACATACTCATTGTGAATAAACTGTGAAGTTTGGTGTTTACGAACAGTCTTCGTTCTGCCAAAGGAATCTGATTGGTCTATAAACCATGTTTTCACTGAATGTGTGACACAGAGGGCATAATAGAGATGACTCGGGTGCCGTTTACTTAGTGCGTGTGATGTTGGCTGGATTGTTACCCCTTGTTATGTTCAGGTGGAGTGTTATCTTTGTTTAACCATGATGGATGACACAGTACAGCACGTCTCGGCCTCTCACACTTCTCCCCCTGTATAATTATGCAACCGTTCCTTAGTTATACAACCTCACCACTACGCCAGTCACTGTGTTTTGGGATCGGTACGAGATTCATTGTGATCATAATTGCTTTGTTTACAGAGCAGATTGGGTGAAGGGAATCCTCTTAACAGCTCAGTGGATTACACCAGTTTTGCTCTAACGGGGGACCTGGAGTGACATCACTCCATGTAAAACCCCTGAGAAGCTTTTGATTTTAACATGACTGTGATGGTCTTGGATTAGCTCAGTGTAGTGGACATTCTTATCTAAAGGGATAGTTCATCCAAAACTAATTCTGATATTATTACTCACCCTCAAAGTGCTCAACAATAAGGATGGCCCGTTGGCCGGGGCAAGAGAGAGAGTGATTCGTGCCAGAACTGTAACTTTGGCCTATTTGGCAAGCACTGTATCTTAATATTTGTGCATTGCAAACTTAAACATTTGGAATTCTGCTTGTCAACCTTTTATCTATCAGTAAGAATGGGTTGAAAACTAATCAGTAATGTTTTGATGTGTATTCCATTTTCCAATTTATTGGAGTTTCCTGTGTGGTTATAATTACTGTATGATTTATAAGTTTTATTGCATATTTTCTTTGTAAAGAAAACTACATTTGATGGAAATTTAAATTTGTGTATGGAAAATGTTTGTATTTTTGTAAATGAATGTCAAAATAAAGGTTAAAAAAAAAAACTAAATTTAAACGAGAACTTTACAATTAAAAATGTAAATATGATATTATTAGTTTAAATACATTAAATATTACATTTATAAGTGTTGTGTTGGGCCACTGGAAATGTTGGCTGGAACTACTGGCCCAGCTGGGTGTGGTGAAAAATCATGGAAATTAATCAAATCTTACAAGGTCAAGACTTTTCAATAGTTCTACAATATTTCTTTGGCTATAAATGACTCGTTGCTATAATTGGCTATAATGAATCGCCTTATCCCTTTAAAGGTGTGGTCACCTTAGCAAAATCTCAGCCGTTTCAGCAGAAAAGATCCATTGCCTGTAGTCAATAGTCTAGTGATGTATGAAGCACAGCTCACACAGAAGTCACTTTCAAACCAAGCTGCTTTCTGTTGCTCATCACAGTGAATTTGTGACCACCTTGCGTGTGCAGTGCAAAAGCTGCATGGGGAAATCTTTCACCCTCACACAAAATTTCCAATCACGTGGATTCCTATTGAAATGACTGGATTTCATCTGAGAAAACTTGCCAAACAACAGTAAATGTGAAAAAAGTTTTGCTCCTCAAAACTAGTGAATCTGAGGTTTCTTGACACTTGAAGCCAACTGGTTTTCAGGAAATGTCCTGTTTAGAAGCATTGTGTGATGTAAGCAGTCATACCATCTGCAAGGGTAAATGAGGTTTTTAATAGAATGTCTTAATGGATTTTATAGCCATGTTACTCAGCAGTACAATGTCTTTGCTCTTCAGCCAAGGGCACTTTGCGAGAGGAGACACTGAGGGTCTTTCTACAGCAGATTGCAGCAGCCATGCGCATTCTCAACAGCAAGGGGATCATTCACAGAGACCTCAAACCTCAGAACATCCTGCTGTCCTACACGGGCCGCAAGAAGTCCAGCATCAACGGCATACGCATCAAGATTGGTAACACTCTCCCCAATTATTTATTGCTAATATTATGTGCTATACAGTATAATATATCTACAGTAAAAGTGAAATGTCTAAAACCAAATTACAAATCTGGGATCCAAAATTGAACTTAAAACTGGAAATAAATATCTTAGGGCGTTTGTAGTCCACCGTATATGTACCCAATCTTTCATACCTAACAGTCTATTTAATACCTTCATACACTTTCCACCCTCTGATCTCTCACACAGCCGGTTCTTTGTTTCCATTGTCTCAGTCTGTGCAGAAGTTACAAGTCGTGACTCTCAGACAGCAGCATGATGCTATTAATAACACCGGTGCTCTCTTTGTTTTACAGCTGACTTTGGTTTTGCAAGATATCTCCAGAGCAACATGATGGCGGCCACATTATGTGGATCTCCAATGTACATGGTCAGTAGCCACTGGCTGAATTCTGTCTCACAGTCTCAGATTTGTGAAATATAGCAGCCACGTGAGACATTGGCAGCATTATGTTCTTATAATCTGTCATCTCCCTCCACAGGCTCCAGAGGTGATCATGTCCCAGAACTATGATGCCAAAGCTGACCTGTGGAGCATTGGGACTGTCATTTATCAGTGCCTTGTGGGAAAGCCGCCTTTCCAGGTGAGGTTCATGACGTTGAAGTTAAAATTCATATAGCTAATGTTCTGATTTGAATACTTACTGTAAGTTTTGATGATGTTTTTACATGTTTTATGTCGTTATGCGACCAGGCTAACAGTCCACAGGACTTGAGGATGTTCTATGAGAAGAACAAGACTTTGGTGCCAAAGTAAGAGCACGGACTAAATTATTTTATTTTATTTTTTCGTTGCATTATGTGTCATAATTCTCAAGACTCTGTAGTAAAACCACAGTTGTCCCATAATGTGATTGGGGTGTTTTAGATAGTGATACCTAAATAACAGCGGTGGCCGATATAATGCTCATGTATACACTACTGTTCAAAAGTTTGGGGTCATTTAAAAATTTTTTTTTAATTATTGTATTTGTAAAGGATGCATTAAATGGATTTAATAAGTCAGTAAAGACTTACAAAAGATTTCTGTTTCAAATAAATGCTGTTCCTGAGTGCTGAAAAAATGCATCTCAGTTTCCACAAAAATAAAGCAGCACAGGCAGTTTCAATATTGATAATAATACGAAATCAGCATATTAGAATGATTTCTGAAGGATCATATGACACTGAAGACTGGAGTAATGATGCTGAAAATTCAGCTTTGCATCACAGGAATAAATTAAATTTTTAAATATATTCAAACAGAAAATAACATTTCACAATATTACTGTATTTTTGATCAAATAAATGCAGCCTTGATGAGCATACGAGACTTATTTTTAAAAACTTTAAAAAATCTAAACAGTACTTTATATACACAAAAAATAGCTGAAATGAAATGAAAAATTTTCATAAATGTACATATTATTTACTCAAAATTCTCTGAAAAATGAAAACAGATTTTTAATTATTTTTGTAATATTTTATTATTAAGCCATTAATCCTGAAATGGCCAGTCACTGGGTGCTATTTACTAAATAACTAATGCTTTCTGTTCACAGCATCCCGCGAGAGACGTCTCCTCAACTGGAAGATCTGCTGCTGGGGCTGCTCCAGAGGAACCAGAAGGATCGGATGGATTTTGGTCAGTGTATTTCTGTTGTTGCAGTGCATTATGAAAGGATTTGCACCTTGTTGTTGTGTTTCCCTTATTGTATACTCTTCCGTCTGCAGACACTTTTTTCAGTCATCCTTTCTTGGAACCGACATCAACTATTAAAAAATGTAAGTAAGAGAGCATTTGATGAGCAAATTTGATGAGTAAGGTGTGGCTCGACACTAAAACAGCTTTTGTTTTACCCAGCATGCCCTGTGCCAGTGCCTACGTGCTCTGGCTTGGTCACAGACAGCACGTGTGGCAGCTCTCCTTCCTGTCGTTACGTCTCTCCGCCGGTAAGCCCCTTACATTGTCAATGCTGAATCCACTGTCACTCCACCACAGGTGTGAGCAGCTTTCTGACTGGGGTGTTGTATGAGATGATTATGGTATTCAGAAGGGTAATGGTACTGACTCAGCTAAAGGTAATCCAGCGTTTACCTTCACCTTTGTGTTACAGTCCCTGCCAGACATGCAGACTCTCCCTGAGGACGTGTTGTCCTCTCCACCTCTCGGCCCTCCCAACTACCTGCAGCTGTCCAAGGAGTCGGGCGGCAGCACCAGCAGCAAGAACTCCTCCTGTGACACTGACGACTTTGTGCTGGTGCCCCATCTCTCTGGAGAACAGTCCTGTGAGTCACATAATGTCACCAAACACATGCCACATGCCTAGGCAGACCACAGCTGACATCTACACTGCTAAAAATCTGTATTATTTTTTGTTTTTCTGTTAAAATATTAAAACATCCTTAAAACAAGGTACACTTATTTGAGAAACAAAAAAAGTGTAATAAGCTGTTTTCATCCATTTTTTTTTACTCTTTTGACCAGCTAATGTAATGTTATGATTCACACTTTTTTTTCTTTCATAAGAAAAGCAATATAATCCTTTTTACATGTGTGGGCATGGTTAATGTAAAATAATTGTAATCCTGAATCTACTTTGATGTTTTATGCTGAAAAAAAAAACGATTGGGTTTAAAAAGCACCTAATTAAATTTATTTTCTTTGAAAACAATTCACAATATTATACACATTTTTTTTTTTAAATAATAATATTTTAATATTAAGTATGATATTTTAAGAATGGTTTAGTATGCTTGCATATTTTACATTTTATAGAGAATATATTAATTTTAATCAATAATTGAATTTTTCTTTAATGTAAGCCCTCATTGAATCTTTTTTTTTTTTATCTAGCAACATATAAAAATATTGAAAAATACATGTAATTCAAGATATATTCTTTTAATTTTGTAAGAGTGTTCAGATATGTTTTCCTGGAAAACATGATTTCAGGGAATACATCTTGAAATTACTTTATTTTCCTTAATAAAATGGCTAATAGTTTAAGCTTATAATTTAGGATAATTTAATTTTAAGCCTTTTTATAAATCTTACAGAATATAAAAATATAGAAACTATTCAAAAATGCATGCAATTCAGTATACAGGATTCTCTCAGTTTTGTAAGACATTAAGTTTAGAAGTATGTTTAGATCTTTTTTACTGGAAGCCAAGACAAAAAATACAGAGTAAGAAAACGAAAATTTGCGGTGTGCCATTTTTACACGTCATAACACACGCACACACACTAAGCACTATATTTGAGCAGCTGCTGGAGCTTGTTTGTGTGTGTTTTTTAGCATATAGAGAGGCGTCAGCTGAGTCAGCGTTACGAAAGCCTTCCAGCGCTGATTACGCTCTCACACTCTGTGATTTGTTGGTGTATGTGAGACTGTGTATTTATGTAGTTCTCACGGCTTTCTTTCATTCTCTTCTCTTCAGATGACCTTCCAATGGGGGCAGTGGGCCGCAGAGCGTCCAGTGAATTCCTTCTCTGTGGAGGGTGAGTGTGACATCGCTCACTTCACTCAAGATACGTGACTGCTTAAAAAGCTCAAACTTTCAACCATGCATGTTTACTTGCATCGAGCTCTGCAAATGTTAGACAAGAATTTTAGTAGGTTGACATTTATTAGTCCAAAGATACACAGTTCACAGTCAAGTCCGACATGCAGACAGAGATATTAACTCTGGGTAAATCAATGGATCATTGCATCATGGAAATATGGAAGTACGGATTAGTACACTGATCCGTTGGCTTTGTAGATGTGATATTTTTGGTGGCTTCCACTCGCAAGCTGTTTAATCATGGAGGTGAAGGCCAGGGTGGATTCACGGTTGTGTGAGTCTGGGTGGTATGTCTGCTGTTATTGCTGGAGAAAGCTGGTGTGGCTAAGTGAGAGGTGAATCACACAGCTGGTGAATGAGTCCTGTGGGAGCAAATGCGTGTGTTTGTGCTTCTGCTCTAAGAATAGACACCCTGCTGTCAACTTCTCCCATCTGCTTCTGTTTCCACCGACCTCAAATTTTGTCCAGAGGTGCAGAATTCAATGTCTACTGGGTGTTTTGTGACTAGACGGTTTGTTTCATGGTGCAGTTATGCAATGGATCTGACATGAATTTTGCCAGGGCTGACAGAGTGACAGTTAAAACATTTGTATGCTGTACATCTTTTGTCTGTTACTCATGTAAAACAGAGGATGTTTTGTTTTTGTGAGAGTCGGTGCACTTCCTTCTGCTCTGTGGCTTTTCTGTTTCCCTCTCTTGTACAAGCAAAACATGCTCCACCTTTTTTGTCTCCATCTCTTTTGTCTATTTATTCTTTTTCACACATACACACTAAAGACCAGAAGGTTGGACACACTTGACTAATTTGCAGAAAATCAAAGTAAACAGTGTTATTAAATTATTAGCGTTTTTAAAGATTAACTTCAAGTGAACGTTAATCTAAATGTAAAAATAGGGGAAATGAATATGATAAATTTGTATTTTATAAAATGTAATATAAAATATATGAATAGATCTCTGTTCAGATTCAGAAGTTTCAGGTCAGTAATATTTTTTAATGTTTTAAAAATGCTCACCAAGGCTGCATTCCTTTGATCGAAAATACAGTAACAACTTTTTTTAAACTATTTTTACTATTTTTTATTATTGTGAAATATTATTACAATTTTAAATAACCATTTTCTACTCAAGAAACATTTCTTATTATCATTGGTGAAAACAGTTGCACTGCTTGGAAACCATGATGCATTTTATGAGGACTATTTGATCAGTAGAAAGTTTAAAAACAACATTTATTTGAAATAGAAATCTTTTGTACATTATAATACATTATAACATGATACATTATACAGTACATTTAAAAACAACATTATAAATGTCTTTAATTCAGCAAGATTAGATTAGGTTGATCAAAAGTAACAGTAAAGTATTAAAAAAAGAAAAAGAAAAATCTTTTAGCCTCGTCAGTTATGTCCTCTTTGTTTTGTTGTGCCATGCTGAACTGACTCTGGGTCAAACAAGGACACAGCCTGGTTAACCATTCACGTGTAGCCCTCACTCACACTCCTCCCTCTCTCATTACATGATCCAGGACTTTGGAGCTCAAACCACAATGTGCAGCTTCCTTTTTTCACTTTTAGCTCCCCTTCCTTCTTATCAGCCATTTGCACCCCCCTCCCCATACATGACCCAGTCATGACATCTGTGAAAAAACATTGTGTTCCTGATAGAATAAGAATAAGCTGTTTTGTTTCCTTTGTCTGAGACTGGTGACGGTAGGTGGACCCAGCATGTGCCACTGCCTGAAAGCACCGCCCATTTCTCCTCCCTCCCCCTTACTGATAGGTCAGGGCTTTGTGTTTACGCTGTAGCTCCGCCCCGTGTGGTTCTGAGCAGAAACAGCTTTTGCTAAACTTATCCGTCAAAGTTAGAAGCGTCTCGCACTTTACATTTAGTGATCGCATGTTGAACAAGACTTAGATCGTAAGGATTTTTTAAAGGTTTTATAACATAAAAGGGTTTGGAAAAGCATTCTGACTGGTTTATTTTATGGGTTTCTCAGGCCACCGCAGCCATCCTCTGGACAGACCCCAATGGTATCACCACGAAGCGAGACCACGCCGATACCTGTACCCACACAGGTGCGAAACTACCAGCGTATCAAACAGAACCTGTCCAGCAGCCCAACCACAACACTTTATGGCTCTCCCAGGTAAGACATTCAACAACAGGAATAAATAACTCTAATGCTAACTGCTTTTAGTAGCATGTTCAAGCCATTATGGTGCAATATAAAGATCAGTGACATGATTGCATCAATTTTGTAAAATCATTTCAGTTGTGTATCTAACTAGAGAGAATTTGCTAAGTGATTCAGTGGATTGTCTTTGGGAACAGGTGGGTTTAGGGTCTTCAGGCAGGTGGCTAGCAGACTCTGGAGATTATGACTGTTGCACAGTCCATTATTAGTCACGCCAGACCTCAGCAGCTGCTTGGCCTACTTCACTCTGACCTGCCCTGTGTCTCAAAAAAGTGATTAAGCTCATCATGGTAGCCTTGCAGTCCGTGTGCTCAGGGCTGAGCTGGTTCACATTATCTCACCCTGTTAGTCAGCTCGGTCACTGTGCTGGTGAAGTAGCCCTGGGCACTGCTTCAGACCTGATTTATGAGTCAAGATTGTCTTCCAGGTGTCATTCACTGAACTATTTAACATTTCTGAACTTATCACAGGTGACATGTGATTCTTGTGTCAATAAGATTATTCATGTGTTGTTTTGGAAGGTAGGAATATTGAGAATCTCACTTTTAGCTAAAGAAAATGCCAGGAACTCCTTCCCTAAGAACTCTACAGACAGAGGATATTCTACAAATTGTGTTTCATATACAGTGGTGTAAAAAGTATCCGGACATTTAAAATATATGAATTCCTTACCATTTAAAAGTTTGGGGTTGGTGTTTTTAAAAAGAAGTCTGGCTGCATTTATTGGATCAAAAATACTGTAAAAACAGTAATATTGTGAAATATTATTACAATTTAGAATCTTTTTAATACATTTAATACAAATATTTTTTTCCATTTGTGGCAAAGCTGAATTTTCAGAATCATTTACTCCAGTCTTCAGTGTCACATGATCCTTCAGAAATCATTCTGATTTGCTGATTTGATGCTTAAGAAACAATGGTGTGCCAAAGAATATTTTTGTGGAAACCTTGATAATTTTTTTCAGGATTCTTTGATGAATAGATATTCGAAAGTAACAGAATTTATTTGAAATACACATCTTTCGTAACAATATAAGTCTTTGCTGTCAGTTTTGATCAATTTAATGCATCCTTGCTGAATAAAAGTATTAATTAAAAAATACTTAATACTGACCCCAAATTTTTTAATAGCACTGTATCATGCTAAATGGCATTTATTTTAAAGAAAGATAATACTGTCTGAAATGAAAATGAAAAGTACACCTGCGGTGTTACTCTGTTGGGACACCAGTGTGAACTTGAGGAGAACTGACATCATACATCCACTAAAATTACATCGAGACCAGATAAATGTGTAATTGCTGGTTAAGAAAAGTGATGTTCATACTGCGGAAATTTTAAGGTTGCCGAATAGCACTGTATCATGCTAAATGGCATTTATTTTAAAGAAAGATAATACTGTTTGAAATGAAAATGAAAAGTACACCTGCGGTGTTACTCTGTTGGGACACCAGTGTGAACTTGAGGAGAACTGACATCATACATCCACTAAAATTACATCGAGACCAGATAAATGTGTAATTGCTGGTTAAGAAAAGTGATGTTCATACTGAGGAAATTTTAAGGTTGTCCAAATACTACAGTATGATTTTTGGTTGTTTTTAATGGTCACAGGTCAGGCACAGTGCGGCGCTCCAACACAAGCCCCATGGGCTTCCCTAAAATGGTGTCTGGGTCACCTAGCCCTGCAGATACAGTTCAAATGGTGGGGCGACGTCTCTCTACAGGCAGTTCCCGGCCCTACTCCCCATCTCCACTGGGTAAGAGTCCCTGCTCTCATTCTTTTTTTAAGTTTACTGGGAAACTGTATTTTCAAAGACTGACACGTTCTGACACTGGTCTGTCTATTTCTGTATTTGTTCCCCAGTGGGCACTATTCCTGAGCAGCTCGGGCACTGCTGCTGCGGACATCCCCAGAGCCACGAGGCACGCAGTCGCAGCTCCTCAGGCGGTGAGTTTATATGTGAGAAATTGACATGATAAAAACACAGCACTACTGTTTCCTCTTCAAAGTGGCACCATTCACATTCTCACAAGCCGTAGCCACAGTCGCTTCCTCCCGGTGGGTCACAGCTTGTCTGCCTTATTTAAGTCTCCATGGTTACAGCTGCTGGTTATGACTGAGAACTCAACAAGCGATCAGGAACAATGCATGTTGTTATAACAACAAACTGTGCGACCTCTGAGCTTTTGTGCAAAACCTCTTAAAATCTATAAACCTTCAAACCTGTGAACTCAATGATCATGTCTAAACAGGAGACGAACTCATGGACCTTGTTGTTTTAGACTTTCAGTTCAATTAAGTTTTATGGTACAGATCTTACATACTGCAGTGCCACCTAGTGGTTGAATAATGAAGCATGTGGTGTGCCATATCAATAATATGTTATGTTAAAGGGATAATTCACCCCACAAAAAAGTTTTGTCATTATTTACTTTCATGTAACACTTTGGTTAATCTTCAAAACACAAATCAAACTCCACTTCTGTGAGTTTGTACTAAATGTGATGTGCTCTATGCATGTGCGTTGATCATTGTTTAGATGTAAATAAAAGCCTGAATTAAATTTGTTCTTCATATAAAGTGATCATATCTCTTCACAAGATTAACAGCTTGATTCATTTTTGGATATTTTAAAGGAATAGTTGACCCAAAAATTTAAATTTGCTAAAAATATAGGCCATTTAAAATGTAGCGAGTTTGTTTTTTCAGTGGAACAGATTTGGAGAAATTTGCCATCAGAATGAGAGTCCAAACAGCTGATAAAAACATCACAGTAATCCACATGACTCTAGTCTATTAATTAACACCTTGTGAAGTGAAAAGCTGTGCATTTGTCTGCAGAGGGTCTATTGGTGAGCAAGTGATGTAATGCTACATTTCTCCAAATCTGTTCTGAAACAATCTTGGATGGCCTGAGGTTAAGTAAATTCAATTTTTGGGTGAACTATTCTTTTAAGGTTTGGTTACCTGGAATTTTATTGGAGGAACAGGACCCTCTTAGGTTTCATTAAAAATATAAAATGTATATTTCAAAGATTAACCAAAGGCTTATGGGTTTGGAACAACATCAGGGTGAGTCAATGAGAATAGAATAGACATTTTTGGGAGAACGATCACTTTTTTGTTTTTTTGTTTTTAAACAAGATGGACACTTTTTATGTTATAGGTTCCCCTGTGCCGTCCTCTCAATTACTGGGTACTCGTCTTCAGAGTGTGCCCACACTGACTGACATTTACCAGAACAAACAGAAACTACACAAGCAGCTGTCTGACCCGGTTCACCCCACCGTCTCAGCCTACCCCACCAGCCACTCCCCTCAGTTTGGTCGCCCCGGCAACCTAGGCACCTCCCCAACCAAGCACCTTGGCTCCTCCCCTCGCACCTCTGACTGGTTAACAAAGTCACCGTTGCCCACCATCATCGGCTCACCCACTAAGGTAAGCTCTAGGAGTTGTCAGGTAAAAAGTGTTTCAAGTCTAGAGCTTTTGGCATTAATAATATAATTTCTGCTCATTTAGGCAACCGCTCCATTCAAAATCCCTAAAACTCAAGCCTCGTGCAACCTTATGGCCCTGGCCTCTCAACAGAGTATGGCCGACAGCCCTGCCCCAGTCAAGACGCTGATGGATGGGCGTGACCTCTGTGCACATCACTGCTCTGCGTATCCCAGCAGCCGACAGTCTGCACCAGAAGCCAGCAAGACTTCCTTTGGCAGGTTGGCAAAAACTTTGTTCAGACAACATCTGATATAAGCAACAAAGTTTTAAAATATTGTATATATAGTAATATACATACACTACTGTTCAAAAGTTTGGAGTCAGCTTTATTTTTATAAACAATTAATACTTGTATTCAGTAAGGATGCATTAAATTGATCAGAAATAAATTCATTTATATTGTTAGAAAATATTTTTGTTTCAAATAAATGCTGTTTTTTAAATTTTGTATCAGTTTCTATAAAAAATATTAAGCACATTTCAACATTCATAATAAATGTTTCTCGACCATCAAATCAGCCTATTAGAATGATTTTTAAAGGATCACGGGACACTGAAGACTGGAGTAATGATGCTGAAAATTCAGCTCTGCCATCACAGGAATAAATGAAAATATATTAAAATAGAAAACAGTTCCATTTAAGAACATTTTGTAGTAATAATAAATTGTAATAATATTTCACAATCGTACTATTTTTACTGCATTTTTTATCAAATAAATAAAGAATTCCTTCAAAAACATTAAAAAATCTTTTTGACCTTAAACTTTTGAACTGTATTGTATAAAAGTATTATATAGCTAATGAATTATGAACATTAATCTTTTGGGGTGTTGCATACATTGTGATAGTTTATTTAATTTTGTTTTTACCTTGACACACAGTCATGAAAATCTGCAGGGGTCCTCTCTGTGATATCTTTTCTTGTTTTAGTTTTTTTAACTATGTTGGTCACACCACATGTGATTTGTCCATTTTTATAATAGATTTATAATATTTTAACAAAATGTATTATTCATATTTTTAGAAGAGTAAAAGAAGATTTCATATTTTCTTCTCAATCATTTAATTCTTTTAATAATTATTATTATATCAGGACAGTTGCCATTTATGACTTTATGCCCCACAAAAGTATCATAAACCAGAAATTAAAAATATGATCATCATATAAGAAATGCACTGATGCCATTGTTTGCAATTTTCCTGTACAGTATATTATAATAAATTAAATAAATTATTATAATCAATTAAAAGATTTGGACAAGAAGTAAGTGCCATGTCATTGACCCCTGTGTTATAAATTCTAATTGAGTTTAATAACAAGCTGAACCTGTTTATTTCCTCAGGTCTGTAAGTGCTGGCAGACTGTCTGAGCAGCCGGTACGGATCACTTTGGGAGGACAGCCGTACCAGGGAAGCACAGACAGCCTCAACACAGAGAGACCCATGGACACAGGTAGCCCCCTTTCCTTATTTTGTTATAGCTTTTTGTAAAGTCCAGTTTTTCATACCAATATTATTTTATTTCTACTAAATATAACCCCATTGACATAATTTGAACTTCTCCTGAAAGCTTCTGTCTTGCATGAAGTGTTCTGATTGGCTGCCAGTGTTTGTATGTGTTTTGTGACCCATCTGGGATCCCTCCCCAGCCCCGGCAGGGACTTGCGGTTTGGCAGCAGGCGGGGCAAGTCCCCGCACCGTTGTGTTCACGGTGGGCTCGCCCCCCAACAGCAGCACCCCACCCACCTGCAGCCATCTCGCCTCCCGCCCGCGCACCACCTCAGGTGAGGGGCCTCATCTCATAAACCTGCCTGTGCCACTGTTTTGAAGACATTCTGATGCATTATGGTCAAGATCTAACAGCAGGTTCACACATACTCCGTTTGCAGTGCGTATGCAGTCCATGTGCTTTCACACAGGATGCGTTTGCAGTCCGCTCCTGATCTGTGGCTGTTTACCACAAACACAGCATTTACTTTAGGAATATATATATATATATATATATATTATAATAGGGATGTAACGATTCACTCAACTCAAGATTCGATACGATTCACAATACTGATTTCACGATTCGATTTTCTCACAATTTTTTTTTTTTTAACAAAATGAGATTTGAGACAAATTATAAATGAAAAGATGTCCTTTTATTATTGCTTGGACAAAATGTTGAACATTTCTTTGTGAAATTGAAATATTAAATTTTAAAACAAACCCCAAATCAAATAAATAAATAACACCTTGGTTACCTCTGTAAACAAAGCAGCGCAGCACTTACGAACACATGCTTCAATATACATTATACATAGGCAAGATGAAAAGAAAATTTCATCTAAACTTTTCTAAAGACAGTCTGTTCATATGAAATTTTAAAACAAACCCCAAATCAAATAAATGAAAAACACAAAGAAAAGACATCTCTTCATATAAACAAACTAAGGCTTTGCCTGTGGTCTTTCCATTCAGTTAGAGGCAAACACTGGATTTTAATCATGATCCAAACAAAGATGCTGCGTACATGCTGCATGAGCAGTTTTTAATCTAAATTAGATTGTAGAATTTCGAAATGTGAAGCAAAAACAGAATGCTCTGACTTTACCTTTGTGAAATTATGCTACATAAAACATTTGAACGCGACAAAAACATCAGACGGGCTGAATGAGATGCAGATTCACTCTCTGACAGCAGGTGGCGCTTATGTAACAGTAGCAATACAGTGTTTCCTTGGTTACCGCTGTAAACAAAGCAGCACAGTGCTTGACCCTATTGATGAACGCTGCTTTAATGTGTATCATACAGAGTCAAGATGAAAAGAAAATATCATCTACATTTTTCTAAAGACAGTCAGTTCCCCTCAGAGATACATTCATATAAACTCCTACCCACAACTGCATGCAGTGTGAACGCTCTAATCCGTTAATATGGGCGCGGAAAAAAATATGCACTGCAAACAGAGTATGTGTGAACCTGGCATAAAGCTAATAGACTCTTAAGACTCTATATAGACTATAGGGCCTTTCGCACCGCTTTTGTTCCAGAACTAAATGTACAGTACTAAAGTACTGGGACGATTTTGTGCGAACTATTTCCCAGTACCATTTAAAGGGTTGCATTCGCACCGAGAGTGTGTACTAAGAAGTGACGTAAGCCGGTCGACATGATTGTGTGTGTCTGTGTGTCTGCAGTAGGCTCCAACAGCTCGGCCGGCTCGCTGTGCTCCACCAGTGGCAAGGTGTACATGGGCTCTCCCCCGGGCATGACCATTGGCAGCTCCCCACCAGGAGCGGAAGCGGCTCCCAGCAGTCTTCGCTATGTCCCTTACGGCACCTCCCCGCCCAGCTTGGATGGATTCATCACATTTGAAGCTCCAGAACTGCCAGAGGAGACACTGATGGAGGTGAGAGAGCTAACGCAGTTGGAACGTATAGAGTAGCTTTTCTTGGGAAACACTAACATGCGTGTTTTTCTGTTTGGCAGCGTGAGCACACAGACACCCTGATGCACCTGCGGATGATGCTGTCCTTTACGGACTGTGTGCTGGAGATCGCTTCTCTATGGGCCGGAGGACCTGATCTGGGTGTGTCTGCCGCCTCTCTCTATCCGCCCCAGGACAGCGTGGTGGTGGATCAGATCAGTCAGCTCAGTAAGGAGTGGGGGTAAGAGCAGTGCGCACAAACACATGATCTTTAACAATGAGAGTTCATAGCATACAGTATATAACGCTTTGGTCATCATCTTACACAGGCAGGTGGAGCAGCTGGTGCTGTACATGAAAGCTGCACAGCTGTTGGCATCCTCACTGCACCTGGCCAAAGCTCAGATCAAATCTGCCAAACTCAATCCATCCTCGGCCGTCAAACAAGGTAAGCTGCTACATTAGATGGCTTTGCTAAAAACAAGCGTGCATGTGTGCTCAGTTTGTTACAGAGTCCCGTATTACGGTTACTTCCCCTGGGCTTTAAAATTATTATTAGGACTTGCCTTGATGTGGTTAAGTCATGAAAATAAATTAAATCCTAAAAGATCGTGGGCATTTTTAGAACGAATATACATTTTTCTACTCAAAAATATTTTATTGGGTAGAAATTGATATTTGTGAGTATAAAAATAATATTTAAAAAACTAGTTACAAATGACTAGGGAAGTCATTTAAATTAATTGGTGCAAATGTGTTAACCCTGAAAATATTCAGTTATTGAAACTTCTGGAGTTATAAAATGTAATCATTTAAATTATTTATATTTATGTCGAGTTATTTTAATGTATTGTGACTTTTTTTCTGTAAATAATGTTTAAAAATTCAACTAAAATTTTACAAACATAATAATTAGAAATTTTGGCATAGGCAATCAAATGAAAAAAAAAAAAATGCTGAAGTACTAAATTTGCTTAAACTAAAATAACTAAAAAGTTAAAGCTAAATAGTTTTGTGATTGTAATTTCCGTAAATAAAGTTTGAAAGTGAGCAGGTTTGTCATTACAGCAGAAGTAGCTGAAATATCTTGGGGGGCCTTCAGCTATTACCCTGGACTCTAAAACGTTAAGAACCACCAATTTAGAGTAAAAGATGAAATTAACGAATAACATGTATCTTGTCTCTGAACTTCAGTGGTGAAGAGTCTGAACGAGCGCTACAAGAGCTGCATTTCCCTGTGCCGCCGCCTCACAGACAAACTCAACCACTTCTTCTCCGACAAGCAGCGATTTGTGGATGAGATCAACAGTGTAACAGCTGAGAAGCTCATTTATAACCATGCTGTAGAGATGGTGAGTGAGGATGGTCATGGCGGCCTCACTTTGAGCTTTGTTGCGTGATTTAATGAGTGGTTAACATTGGTGCCATGTTTGTGTAACAGGTGCAGTTGGCTTCTGGAGTTAATGTAATCATTTAAATTATTTATATTTATGTCGAGTTATTTTAATGTATTGTGACTTTTTTTCTGTAAATAATGTTTAAAAATTCAACTAAAATTTTACAAACATAATAATTAGAAATTTTGGCATAGGCAGGCAAATGAAAAAAAAAAAATGCTGAAGTACTAAATTTGCTTAAACTAAAATAACTAAAAAGTTAAAGCTAAATAGTTTTGTGATTGTAATTTCCGTAAATAAAGTTTGAAAGTGAGCAGGTTTGTCATTACAGCAGAAGTAGCTGAAATATCTTGGGGGGCCTTCAGCTATTACCCTGGACTCTAAAACGTTAAGAACCACCAATTTAGAGTAAAAGATGAAATTAACGAATAACATGTATCTTGTCTCTGAACTTCAGTGGTGAAGAGTCTGAACGAGCGCTACAAGAGCTGCATTTCCCTGTGCCGCCGCCTCACAGACAAACTCAACCACTTCTTCTCCGACAAGCAGCGATTTGTGGATGAGATCAACAGTGTAACAGCTGAGAAGCTCATTTATAACCATGCTGTAGAGATGGTGAGTGAGGATGGTCATGGCGGCCTCACTTTGAGCTTTGTTGCGTGATTTAATGAGTGGTTAACATTGGTGCCATGTTTGTGTAACAGGTGCAGTTGGCTGCACTAGACGAGATGTTTCAGCAGACAGAGGACATCGCATATCGCTACAACAAAGCCTCTATGCTGCTGGAAGGCCTGTCCAAGATCCTCCAGGACCCAGCTGATATAGAAAACGTCACCAAATGTGAGTGAACTTGAATTATTTATTTTTAAAAAAGAAAAAAAAAGGGATTGGAACCTAATGATTTTCATTTCATTATGATTGTTACTTTTGCTGATGTGACCAATGTAGTCCGACTCACTTTTAAATGACTTTTTATCTAAATCAATTTTATGAATTGATATAAAGCTGAAATAAAATGCTTTTCTCTTTGTGTTTCTTTTGTACAGATAAAGCAAGCGTGGACCGGAGGATCTCAGCTTTGTGTTACTGCACCGTTACCCTGTACGAATAAAGAGAGTCATCTTGGCCGGTGCTCTCACTCCAGGGACCATCATCTTCTCAAACCGCAGAGAAGACCAAACAAATCCCTCGTTTTTGTTTTGTAGCAAAGCACTTACAGTTCCTTTTGATTCCTTTCAATCACAAGCAACAGACCAAGTATTACATTTTTTGCAGATTACATTTTGAGAAGGATGTGCACAAGTTCACTACCAAAGATGAAAACTAAACAGAGACTTTATAGTATGAAAAAGATGTTGGACCTGCATTTGGATCCATCTTCTGTTTTTACAAGTCTTTTCCCTTTTTTTTATATGAACTGAAGGGATTTTGGACTGGGAATACTTGGAGGCCCAGCAAATGAACATCAATGCAAATCAGTTCATCTTATTGTTTTATACCGCATTCTATTGCTGATTATTTATTGGTTTTAGAAAGATATGCTAGTGTTATTGATGATGGTTTTGAAAGATGACATGGGGCAGATGTGAAGTCCAAAGTTGGACTCAGTTTCTGGTACCACACACATAAACAGTCACATGGTTAAACGTAGGAGGAATCTGTAGTATTTACAAAATCAGCTTTGAAGCAAATGCACTTTATTGAGGCAGATATGGAAGACGCTTGTCCTAGAACATCCGGCAGAAGGTGGAGATCATGATTCTTCATCCTTCTCCAAGATCAGCGTGAGGCTCTGGTGTCTTCCCATCTCCATATGTGAAATCATTTGAGAATGAGTGTCTGGAAGGCCCGTGAGCTTCAGGTTGGACATTGGCGTCACATAAGAGCCTCGTGGTGAATCATCCATAATGGTCAGAATACTTGAGTAGTTACTTACCTTTTGATTCAGCCGTACTGAAACGTTTTTATGTTCATATTAATACTGTAGCTTTTTTAACCGACGTGCGTGAGCTGTAAATACTTGTACATTCTGCATGCGTGTTTTTATTTTGGAGTGAATGCGAGCGAGCACAGCGTGATTGAAAAAGGTGTATGCTGCCGCCACCATCAACCGCCTCTCAACTTAAGAGCACAAGATTTCCTTGTTTTTAGGGTTTTTTGTTTCTTTGTAGAGGCAACAGACGCTGACAACTTCCTCTGATTCTTCAAGGCCTCACAGAAAGCTCAAGACCTCACTTTGCATGGCAGCTCTTGATTAACGCCCATGAATATCTTGTGTACGATGAAACATTGACTGTGCAGGATGTGGATGTTGCAGGTAAACGGGATAGAACCACTGCCAGGCTCTTCTTTTCCCTGTTCATCCACTGTGTTCATGACAGTGTTTATGTAACTGCACTTCCCAGGTGCTGCAGTGGCCAGTTTCTGGATACTGAAGAACTGAAAGCATGACTTTGAGTAGTCTACTTTCACTTTTATATGTTTTGAACATCTCGCTCCCTCTTTCCTGCACTCTGACTCTGTTTTTATTTTTAAAATGGCCCCTCATGAACCTACAAAGCCTTTACTGTACAGAAAGAGAAGGCTGATCTGCCGCAAAACCATGCATATCTGTAGTTGTAGGACTTCCTTATCCAGGTCTGAGGAGAACTGTGTACAGATGAACTATTAGAGAAGACTAGTACTGAGCACATGTACCTGTGGAACATTAGAATGTATTTGCCCCTAGTTTAGCACCTTTCCTTTCTGAATAAATGCTTACAACCAGCCTATCACAGCCCGACACGACCACGGCCGATGCTGCCTGAAGGCCCTGCTCCCTTGATTTTCAGTGACAAATGTTGATGTTTTAAATGTTTTAATCAATGTGTTTTACCAAGGGCATCTGTGTTGTCTGAAACTGTAGAAATGCAGTTTTTGTTTATTAAACAGATCAATTTTATCCTGTTATTTGAGTCTCAGATTGTGTTTCACAAACGTGTTGCATACTTATACTGCTGTATTTGAAACAAAAGCAGTATTAAAGTGCAACAAAGGTGAGATACAACTAAACAGGCACAAATATAACAGAACAAAGCAATAAGTAGCAGATACCTAAACTAAACCATACTACTAAAGTACCAGATTTGGTTTTGCTGGGCCAAGAAGAGTGGTGAATTATTTTCTGCATTAGGCTTACTTTGTTTACATAGAAGCAGTCAATAATCTGGAATCGGCCATCTTTGAAATGCCTCTCGGGCAGCTATTTCAGTCATGCAACTACAGCTCCTATCTCTTTGAATGGGGAAACATTAAATTCTCTAAAAGGGTTCACCAAGCTTAAGATTAAATTTCATATTTGATATCACCAATGAAATCTTGACAAGAACTGCTTCATAAATGTTGTTTCTTATGCTCAAATAGCGTTAATAAAAGCGTATCTTTAGCCTAGACCAGCCAATGCGCATGTGCAGTACCAGAGCCATAGTTGATCTTAAAGGTGAATTACTAAGCCACTAAATGCATTTACTTCAGATCCTGACCCTACAATTGTGTTGTAATCGAAATAATTGTAAATGTAACAACTTGTATTGCAATATTTGTTGTTACAAATGGAAAGTCAAGGTGTGCAAATGAAGTAAAATTCCCAGTTCCCAAGCTAAATGTGGCATTAATTATAGTAAAGAGTTTTTGTCTGTTTGATTTAACTTTAAAATATAGCTATAAGTTAAAATAAATATATGTTTTATGACTGCTACTTATTGGCAAACAAAAAGGTGAAGTGAAATTTGTTATCAATGAACAAATATTACAATGATCATTTATTTTTCAACTATTCTCATGCAGTACCGAACCGTGACTCCTGAACCTGGGCCCTCCGGGGGGAGAGATAGTAAACTACCAGCATAGCTTACGGGTTTACGGTGTCCTTTTCTAAAAGTTATCTTCGACAGTTCCACATTTAGAAATGCAACAAGACAACAGCACAGCCAGTGTGACAGTTAAAGGTGGGGTAAGCGATTTTTAAAAAAAGGCTTTAGAAAACTGATTCGGGCCAACTAGCAAAACAAACTTGTAGCCAATCAGCAGTATGGGGCGTGTCTACTCATGATGTGGAGGAGAGAGCGTTCAGTGCACAGGACGGACAATTAGTGAGCCGAGCTACAGAAAGATAGAGATGGCGGATAAAAAACAAAAGAGGAAAACATCTGCGGAACAAAAGAAGGCTTAAGGCAATAAGGCAAGAAGTAGGACCGTGTCTGTGCCGCAACAGCTAAAGTCTGTCTAGTACACTGGACGCGACAAAGCGACTTTGTGCGGCGTTATTCAAATCTTCCCACATAGTGAGGTAGAAATGTGTGGGCGTGTTAGAACGAGCCGTTTTAGGTAGGTGTGGCTGACTCAAATTTTATAAAGAATATCTCTTTGGATTTGAGACTTTAGTCTTTGCAACTTTACAGATCTTCTTTATGCACCAAGAGCTTGTAACACTCCAAAGAGAAAGGAAAAATTGAAATCGCATCATATGACCCCTTTAATATAAGGGAGCAATACATCTGCATCCCCACTAGGGGGCCCCCTCTCGCGTTACGCTGGATGTGCTTGCTTTTTCCTCGCGTCGGCTGCCGTTTTCAAACTGGCACAGCGCTTACTTGTGCATTTGCTAATTTAAACATGAGGAGGACTCATCCGTCTGGCAACCAGAAGTCGAAAAAAGCAAGAAGAGGAGGAAAAGTGGAAAAATTACAGCGGTAAATTATGGAGATAAGACTTACTTATTAATTCCAGCTTATTTTCGTTTAATTATTTGCAAGATGATTTACTGGTAAGTTTTAGTCCAATTACTAATAGAGAATGGGAATGTGTCGTCACAGCGGCAATGCATTCTGGGAAATTTGGTCACGGCAGCTGCAGCGGAAACTGGAATATAGTGAATGTAGACTTTGATGATTTAATATTTATATTATTCTACTTAAGATCGCGTTGGAGTGGTTAGGCTCACTTTACATCATTTGCCATAGCCCTTTGCAGGCTGGTGTGAAAAACGTGCTTTTTTCAGTGTTAGAAAGCTGAAAGAGCAGAGGTATTTCCTGCAGACTGCCATAGCCCTTAATTATCAATGTCTGCATGAAATACCTCTGCTTTTGATTAACGCTGTGTTGATATGTTGTTTAAAAATAAATAAATAAATAGGCCCAGACACCAACAGCCTAGGTATGGTAAATTATTTAAATACTTAACTAGTTAACTAGCCTACATTGAATCATAAACATAAAATAATATAAAATGTCTACATTCACTACGGAACTCGGATGAAAGTTAAACTGAAACTCTGTATGGTAAACAAATAAGATGTGGCTTAATAATTGATTTCTGTAGATTTATTATATACAGTGCATTAAAGTCCGCGTGAACCGGAAGTTGCTGCCGACTTTATTTCAGTGTAGTGACGTATTTCCATCTGAAACGGAATATTGAATAGAGGGCATGGTTTTATGTTTGCGCTCCTCCTCTCTGTCTCTCACTCATAGCAATCTAATGGTTGGAGGGGTGTGTTTAAGGATATTCTGCCCAAGCCGTCAAACTGAC